AACTTCAAAAATTTTTGAAATAAAATATTTTATCACTTATATTTTCTGAAACCTTACATTTCATAAATTGTACTGTAACAGAATTTGGTAAGTTTGGGGGACCATTTAATGGGACCTGTACAGATATTCAGTATAAAATATTTTGCTTTCTCGGATATTTCTCATAGCCATTTGAGGATTTTATTTCATTAGAACAAAACGTGATTTCCTAGCGTTCAGCAACAAATTGTAGCACACAAAGAAAGAAAGATATAAAATCAGCTAAAATTGTTTTCCCTTTCTTACATCTTTCCAGTGATACTCAATATCATTGATGAAGGAGTTTGCTTTATTTCCTCTCTAGTATGTTTTTCAACTATTAGTCATGTAAATTACTTTGTTTCTTAAACAAACTTGATTTTTAAAAAAAATCACTCCTGAATACTCACATACACACACCACACACACACACACACACACTCTACCACACACAAAAGAGATATGTTTCTTAGAAATTTGTTTTGAAAGCTTTTATTCTATTTTCACCTTCCCAGCTGCCCATTTTATGGCCTTTTCAGAGACCCAGCCTTTGCTGTCCCTGGTGGATCTGGAAGAGGAAAGCATCTAACTTGCTCTTTGGTCCCTGAGTGGGAGAATGTGGTGCTGCATAACAGATTATTTCAGCCTTGAGTTCCCACATACGTTGTCATGAGAAAGAAAGGAAAAAGCCACAGTCTAGCCCCCTTAATAAAAAAGGTGACATTTCTATGTTGCTTGGCACCATTGGCCTTGGTATTTGGTTGACACCATGGCAGTCTGACCCTCTGATTCTGAATTCCTGATCTGTTCCACAATGTGCAGAATCATAGTTTTTCAGGGAGGCTGGGAGAGGCCCTAACAAATCTTAGTGATGGCAGCAGCTGCTGCTCCAGAGGAGCCCTTTGGAACTGTCAAGTCGCTGCTTGTCACACAGCCAGGCTGTCATTCCTTGAATGCTGCAGGAGAATGAAGACTCTCTTATTTCCTTGAATGGAAGTCTTAATTCGTACAACTTAAATGAGAAGTGCTGCTCTGTTATAACCGAGCTGGTACATCAGTGTCCAGGCTCAGATCGAGTCTTCCTGATTCAAGCTCAACAGAGAACCTCCACAGCAGTGCCACAAACTGCAGGGAGCTCAGAAGACCCAAACACAAGGGAAGTTCATAAATTAACAAGGAAGGCACATTTAAAATAATGCCACTTCTGTGTAGGGCATTGTTCTGGGAAGTCTGGTCAAGGAGAAAATGAGGTAAGCACCCTGAATCAGTCAATCAATTTGTTCCATCAACACTGCGCGACATACTCATTATCTCCTGGATTGTGTTAAACCAGGAACACAAAGGCTAATACAAGATAATCCCCTGCTCTTACCAATTGTACAAAGTTTTCACTCCTGTAGTATACTCAAAATAGTTCCAATTTCAGTCAAAACACCCAGATCTATATTAGAGACCTATTCTTTTCTAGGCAAGGAATGTCCACAATACTGTGAACTCTCTTGGGGAGAGGATGTACTGTATTCATTGCTGGGTTCCCTGCACTCAGTGGAATGGCTAATATGAAGTATGTATTAAGAATATTTTCCAGGTAAATGCATCAGTGTATTTTTGTATGGAGTGCATGAGAAACATTTAATTAAGCATGTGGGGGGGACAGGAAGAGAGACAATTCTTTCTCGATATGTTCTGCCAGTTTCTCTTCAGTCCCAGTATGCCTGAGCAAGTCTGCCACAGGAGTCCATGTCCTTGTGTCTGGAATGCAATAGAACAGGAAGCATATTGTATATTGCCACCAAGATATCCCTGAATACTACCCCTCACTGTCTAAATATGCCATATCTCTGACCAGTCCTCTTGATATTGTCTCCCAAATTTTGTCTTAAGAAATTAAAAATTGGATTTGGCTTCTGTGCTCAGAGATGTATAAATATGTAGCTACAGTAAAAAACAAAACATGCTATCAAAACAGAAAAAAAATAGAAAAGCAATGTGTCTCATTATTCCAAGAAATACTGTACTTCCCCAGATGACCACTACAGAAGATCTATGTATCAAGGTGACAAGGTAAGGGTTAAAAGATGCATAGAAAATTGTGGGACTCAATTTTTTAAAAAATAAATTAGGCCGGTCAGACAAACCTTTATCAGCATAGAAAGCAACAGAAATGGGCAGTCTTCAAAAGGATAAGTGTGCACAAATATATTGAAATCCTAGGTGTCCCAGGCCTGCATACACAATCAAAGCTAAATTTTAGTAGGTCTTTAAAAAATCAAAAGTATTACAAAGTCAGGACTTAACTCAGACTTAATCCCAAATTTGGGTATTGTTAATGTTTAAGCCTTTGGAATAATTTTAGGACATTTAAATTATATTGCATGTGTTTAGGTGATTTCAATAATCAGCTCTTATTTGAATTTGGTAAATCATTTTAGAGAAGATGAGCTAGAAATTGACTTAGGGAGAACCCAGATATGTCATATTATCATAAGAATATGCATAAGCCATTAGGTTATATGAATAAATGTTTTCAGACATTAAAACAAACATTAATGGGCCGGGGATTTAGCTCAGTGGTTCTACCACCTGCCCTGCAAGCGCAAGGACCCGAGTTCGATCTCTGGTACCAAAACAAAACAAAACATTAATTTTTAAAACAATGAAGAATTTCTTCTCCAGGAGAACCCTTCTACATTGGTCTCAGGTAACTATATTGTCCTCATAATGCAAGATCAACTTATTGCTCAGCATCTCTGGGAAGATCTGGGGACATACTAGGGCTCAGTCAACCCCTGGCCCTTTCCTATTACTGTACCTGCACAGTTCAGAACTTATCATTTCTTTATCAAACTTTCCTACCATTTTGTAAGGAGAAAGGCTTCTTATATCTTTAGTTCCTAGACTGTGTCTAGGGTGTAATACACTCACGCATGTTGGCCAAAGGAATTAATCCATTCCCCCACCAAATCAACATGGGGCAGAGACTTTTCTTCTGTCATTTACTTTTGGCAGAATAATGTCTAGCACATAGGATCTGCTCCTAAAATATCTGTTGAATAAATGTGTAATTAGAGTTTAATTGGAAAGAAAGTCTAAAAAAAATTCTACCAGTATCCTTATGATAGGTACTCAAGAATAGACTATCAGAATACCTGTGAGTAGTAGAAATAAGAGGAATGGTAAGTAAGTTAAGAATCACAAGATGTTAATTTTAACTCATTTCAGTGACTAGGAAAATTTACTTAATCACTCTAAACCTGTTTTATCTACAAAATATAACTACTAACATTTATCCTCCTGGCTTTATACAATGGTTCCATCCCATAGGATAACATATGTGAGAATTTTATTTAAATATATGTCAAAATGAGTTTTACCGATTTTCTTTGTGTACTTGAACCAATGTCATGTCTTCTTTATGATTCACAACAGGTATAATAGAGTGAAAATTATTATGCTGGTGTTTTAGAGCTAGATATTCTAAAAAAGTAGAGATTAAAACTTGTTCACAGTGCATTTTACAACACCTGGTTCTAACCAGGTGTCTTTAACATGGGTCATGTTAATTCAATCATTGCAGGTCCTGGCTTAAAGTTTTTTTTGTAACCTGGACTCAAATTATTTCTGGTACTTTAAAATTTGTTTTGACTTGACATGAATACAAAATTTTCTAAACATCAAGATAAATTGTTACTGACATTGATTTAATAATAAGATGAGAAAACACAATAACTAATTACATGCAAAGTCAGCCCAACCTATACAGGAAAAAGCATGTCTGAAGAAAAGATCACTACCAATCTTTTCATTTTCTCCAATTCCCCTTGGTTATAGAATAGAATTCTCTAACATGCTTTTCAAGATTTTAAAATAATATTTCAATGTCCAGTTCATTCCACGTCAATTTCTTTTTCAGGCATGCTTTACTCTTAGGATCAATAGTTGCTCATAATTTAAACTTGGCACGCATGCTGCCTCTTGGTCCTGTCTACCATCAGATAGCTAAGCTTGGTTTTGACAGACACACTTCCAACTTTGTAAGTCATTAGTAACACTTTGGAAATATCTTCACACATGACACAAATAACTAAAACAAATGAATAACAAACAATGGGAAACTTTCAGTTAGAAATTGTGTGTGTGTGTGTGTGTGTGTGCACGTGCGCTCTTGGCAATGCACATGTACTCACCTGTGTAAAAGAAAGAACTATGGTACTACCTCATGGTTTTAAATCCATTTCTCATTTACCTAAAGGGAATTTAATTTTGAAAGAAGGTAAAAGGGTGAAAGGTTTTGCCTTATACATCAGCTTGGCTACCCACGCACTCAGACTGCGGGAGTCACAAACTGCCTTTGACAATAACTTTTGCATCAGAAATGAGGTGATTCAGGGGAGGGGATGCTCAAAGTTGAGGAGCTGCTTTGTCAGGTGCCCTGTTTCCCAGCCTATTCCTGGTTCTGTGCTCCTGATCTCAGGCAGCAGCCAGCTTCATCACCAATGGTGATCTCAGTAGGTAAACTATAAGTACAGTTGGCCAGTCCAGTCTATCATTTATTTCCTGGACAGGTACTAATAAAGAAGTAATAAGGTAATAAACACAGTGTATTTCATGACTTCTAAAGATCCTGTAAATATTAACAAAATTCACAGCATTGAGAGCTACTACTTTCTGGGTACTTGGCACATACTAGACACTGTGCTAAGCAATTCTCCTATGCAATCCATTCCTGAAAAATACATTTTTTTTAGTGCCTACTATATTCTGGGCATTGTTCTAGGAGCCAGGGGACACAGCAGTGAATGAGTGAGACAAGATTCTCCATCTTCAAGGAATTTATTTTTCTGCTTGGTACACAAACATAAATAAGTAAAATATATAGCATATTAGATTGTAATAAATGCTAAGGAGAAAAATAAAGCAGACAAGGGAGATGTGAAATATTAGTGTGAAACTGAAATTTTACCTAGGGTACTCAGGAAAGATCTCACAGAGAAATTGAATTTTTAATTGCATTTCAAATGTCAGAACTACATCAAAAGCAATAATATGTACTGTAAGGGGAACATTTCATAAATAATTCCCTTCGAGGATACAACTTTCCTTTGGCATGTGTTTCCTTGCAGCCTTTGACAATAAGCATGCCATGTTCCATGAGAGAAGCAGCAACATGTTCCCCTTGGTTACAGCTGTCTGTTGGAAGATGACATGGGGCATCATTTGCGGAAACTGAAGGAGCTAGGCCTGCTCTTCCAGGGAGGTTGCAGAGGTCAGTGTGGCTGGATAAAGAAAGAATGGAGGAGAGAGAGAGATGAGAGCATATGCTAAGCATGATGAAAAGCCTGTAAAGTATTCAACCATCCATGGTGGGCATTGCCTTTGAGTAGTACATAGGAGAAAAATGAGGTGAAGCCAAGCAATCTGTTTGCCCTAGATCATTCAGTTAAGCTACAAACTGAAGAACTTAAGAACTTACTTGTTTGATTCCAAAATCATGGTATTAACCATTATCTTGCTTTGCATATACTGTGTGATCGAAAAATACAGTGACTGTGTAAATCTAAAAATGTGTTACAGTAAAAGACAAATCTCCACTAATGCCACTCAGAATACTCGTCCTCACTTAGAACACATTTATCTCATCTTTCCTAGCATGGAACTAGTTCTAGAAATCCTCTTGGGTCTAGTTGCATTGTCCTGGATGCCTCAATGTTCTGAATCCATCGAAAATATGTACAGTTTATGGTCATTTTGACTTGGGAGAAGAATTCGAAGTCAAGGGCTGCCAGCTCCAGTGAATAAGGTAGAGAAGGTCACAATGTAATGTTTTCACAGGCCTGCCTTCCCTTGTGCATTTACTGATTTATTTTAAATTTTAGTTTATTAGTATGTACATGCATGTAGTATATGACGTTTACATTCCTTGTGGAAAGTTGGTACATGTATGTAACACATCTTAATTCCTTTTTTCATCCCCTTTTCCTTCCCTCCTTCTCTCCCTACCACCTATCCCTTTACCACCTTCTGTTTGGTACATGTTTCAGTACATAGTGGTTACATTCTTTGCATAGAGTTGGTACATGTACATAACACATACCAATTCTTTTTTCTCTTTTTATTCCCCTCCCATCCTCCTCCCTCCACCTCTTGATCCCCTTTTGAGAACAGATTCCCCTCCTTGAGAACTCCCTACTTCCTATTGTCTTTTATTTTTCTCTTTATATTTACTGTGTTTCTCATATAATCAAAACAATATAATATTTAAGAGTGTGTGTCAGATTTAGTTCACTTACCATTATGGTCTCAAGGTGCAATCATTTTCCTAAAATGTTTATCTATAGCAGAATGCTATTCCATGGTGTGTAAATACAATTTCTTTATCCATTCATCAGTTGATGGACATATAGGCTGCTTCCAAGATTTAACTATTATGTATTGTACTGCTATAAACATAGGTACGCATGTATCTCTGTAATGTGATGTCTTTAATTCTTTGGGAAAAATACCTAGAAGGGGAACAGCTGGTCAAATGGAGTTTCCAGGTTTAGTTTTTTGAGTGCTCTTCAGACTGATTTCCATGGTGGTTGTACTAGTTTACATTTCCACCAACAGTGTAGAAGCGTTCCTTTTTCTCTGCAGCTTCTCTAGCATTTGTTACTGTTTGATTTCTTGATGATGGCCATTCTTTCCAAGGTAAGATGGAATCTCAAGGTTGTTTTAATGTATATTTCTCTAATGCCAGCAATATTGAGAATTTCCTCATATATTTATTGACAGTTTGTACATCTTTCAAGTGTCTAGTCATTTCATTTGCCCAATTTTTGATTTGGTCTTTTATTTTTGAGGGATCTAATTTTTTTGAGTTCTTCATATATTCTAGATATAAGTGCTCTGAGGAATCACTGGCAAAATTTTTTCTCATTTGGAAGGTTGTCTTTTCACTGTGTTGGTTGTTTTGTTGGTGGTGGTTGGTTGGTTTTTTGTGCAGGGAATTTTGATTTAATAAGATCCCATTTGTTGATTCTCAGAACTATTTATTATGCAACTAGGGTTCTATTCAGACAGTCCTTGTTTATGCCTATGACTTCAGGAATTGTACTTATCTTTTCCTCTAGCAGGTTTAGTGTTTCTGGTTCAACATTTAGCTCTATGATCCATTTTGATTTTAGTTTAGTGCATGGTGAGAGATATGGGTTTAGATGCAATCTTCTGCATATAGATAGCCAGTTTTCCCAACACCATTTATTAAAGAAGCTACCTTTCCTCCAGTATGTGTTTTTGACCCTTTTGGCAAAGATCAAATAGTTGAATGTACTTGGAGTTGTTTCTGCATGCTCTATTTTGTTCCATTGATCTTCATGACTGTTTTTCTGCCAGTACCATGCAGCTTTTATCACAGTAGCTTTGTAATATAACTTCAAATTCTGGATTGTCCAATTTTTCAATCACAGCTTGTACAAACACTCATGAAAGAGACTGCTTCAGAAAATGGTAAGAATGATGGAATAAGTGTGTTTGCAGTGAGGGAGAATATTTTGAGGGAGATTAGTGGTAATGTGCCTTATAGTTTAATAACTTCATTTTGACATTCACCATACATTTTGATCACACCTTATATATTAAAGAAAGATGAATGCAAATACCTTGATACAGTGGGAAAATGCCATGGGCAAATAAATTCAAATATTTTTAGTGTTCATGAAATCTGGAAAGATGTGACAAGGCTTCTTGAAGGAATTATTGTTCATCTTGCACTTTTCCAGATACAGATGGGTTTAAGGGCACTCCAGAAAGATGCTCAAGAAGACTATACTCTGGTTTTGTAGCCATTAAGAATCAACCCATTGTACACAAATTGTTTTAACATTCTAGAAGTTGTTTCCTTGTATTTAAAAAAATAATTGCACAGTGGAATTGGCTGTGAGTTAAAGGGCATTTTGGTTGAGATTTAGTATTGTCCTGCCGCCCAGAGCTGGCTTCACATGATCCAAGTTTCTTTAAACTAGGTATGTCCGGAGATAAGCTCAGTATTTCCACCAGTGAACTTACTCCTGGCCATTCACTCCCAGGGAATGTTACTGCCATCCACTGAATTGACCAAACTTGAAATCTCAAGGGCATTTCATTCTTGAAATCTCAAAGTCTTGAAATCTCTAAGTCAATCAATCCCCTACTCCAATACTCATTAATTTTATTATTTATCTTTTTCTTGAACCCATCTCCTTTCTGTGTCCCCTTCCACTATCAGTATTTGATTATTAGCAATTCACATGGATTAAGGATAGATTAACCTACTAATAATGGGGTACAAATATATCATAGAATATATTAAGTTTGGTACTCTTCACAGTTTCAGGCATCCATTATAGCCTTGGAATATATCCTCATGGGTAAGAGGAGACTATTATTACTATTTCTTCTTGGCATACTGAGATGTTGAGAATAAATGGATGACTTAGAATGAAATAGATGACTGCCCCAGGACTTTGGCATCTGGTAGGAGGAAGGAAATCAGCCATGTCAACAGGTGATTGTGGGGCTGTACTAGGCACTGAAACAGAAGTGAAACCTGGGGACACCTGTCAGGTTCAACAAGGAGAATCTAATCAGATCATCTGCTGGATTGAAATTCTTTAGTTGCATCACATTGCCTTCAACACGAGATACACATAACTGAGCAATGCAATTCACAGGATGCTTTTTCATCAATCCACTATTTTCCTATTGAGTTCTGGTTCTCACCATTCCACGTGTAACCTATCACCAAGCACACAAAATAACCAACAGTCCTTGGATTTTCTCTGACTCCAAGCATGTATTTTCTGTCCCAGTGATCTATTCTCTGCTCCCAATACACACAACTCCCTTCACCTCGGTCCATGGTCTACTGAAAAATCCTGCTCATAACTCAGCCTCACCTGAAGTGACTCAAATGCTTTCACAGCTCCAAGAAAGACCAGAGACCTCCATGGTGGTACTGGTCATATTGAATTGCAGTTGTTATTTACTTTATGCCTCTTACCAAGACTCTGAGCTTTCTAGAGAAGGAGCTATGTGGTTTTTTTAAATCTATGAACACCCTATATATAATGCAGTGGTCAACATATAGGAGGGTGCTAAGCAAAAGCTATGTGAATGATAACAATAACACCATGACTAAGAGCTAGCTTTTATCCATTACTATTTCCTTGAGGTGAAATTGGGTGAAGCACACACATGTATTTTCTCATTTAATAATAGATATGTAGTAGATATGCATAGGCCATTTCACAAAGGGAAAAACTGAGGCACAGAGAGAGTTTTTTATTGAGTTTTTCCATGTTCTCATTGTTCAGGAATAATGGGTTGGCCACAAACCCAAGCAGTATGGCTCCAGAGTAAAGCCTACACCATCAACTGCTATGCTACAGTCATTTGAGAAAGAATGCCTGATTTGTATTATAATGTCTGTTTTCCCATATGTGTCTCTATTTCATAGATGAAGAAACTAAGAAAACAAAATTACTTTTCTAGAGTTGCCTAGATAATGACTAGAAAGCCAGGATTCAAATTTCAGTGGCTCTCATTCCATAGTTCGTGCTAAGAAGTCCCAATTCCCTTGATTGAAAAATGGAACATCTGATGAAACATCAAAAGAAAACAAGATGAGCTTTATCTTTCCATACAATTTCAACAATTATATTACTTTAACATATTTTAACGTAATTATAAATTATACTAAAAATAATTTTTAACTTTTAAAATCACATCAGAAATTTGCATTTGCTTTAGAGGTGCTTGCTTCAGTGACAAAATGAAAGAAAAACTATTTTAGTTTAGTTCATCTCCAAATATATTGCACTAAATGACATTGGAAAGATTGTGTTTCAAGGTCAAAGGACAGAGAAGATTCGAGCTCATCACTCATCGAGAGTCTCTGAAGGCCAGAGGCAGAGACCACAGTGGGAGTTCGTGGGCTCTGTCTCCATGGCGCGCTTGCCTTGGCTCCATCACCACGATGGGCAGCAGATCCAGGACGGGAACCCTCTGCCAGCTTCCTGCAGCCAGATGCTCCAAGCTGCCAGCCTGTTCTTCACCCAGCAGCAGCACTCATCACCACTGCTGTTTTAATCACATCAATCTCTTCCCTAATTCTACTTTGTATCAAATCCAAGCACCTAATTATAGGTTTCAAATCTGTCTACCAATTACTCCTCCCTCCATATAAATAGAAACATCTCTTCTCATTGCCTGCCTTTGATTCCACTCTAAAGAAGGGGCTTGTTCCAAGAATTCAAAT